AGTGGTTGGTAGAGGTTCAGGCAGAGGGAAAGGCAGGATGAATCGCTGAAGCACAGGTGAAATGGAATGAAACTGTATGAAGCTGCACTGGTGGATATATATCATGATCTATTTGCTAAAACCCCTATGTACAACACAAAGCAGTGAGCCTTACTGTAAACTGTAGGCTATAATGAATAGTAATATATCACTATTGGTTCATTAATTTTTACAAATGTACCACACTAATGCAAGATGTGAATAATAGGGAAAACTGTGGGGTTGAGGAGGTGACAGTACATGGAATTGCAGGCAGTATCTTAACTTTTCTGTACCTCTAAAACTGTATTAAAAATGATTGTCGGCCAGGCGTGGTGGCTCACGCCTATAATCCCAGCACATTGGGAGGCCGAGGTGGGTGGATCACAAGGTCAAGAGTTAAAGGCCAGTCAGGCCAACATGGTTAAACCCCGTCTCTACTAAAAATACAAAAAATTAGCCGGGCGTGGTGGCGCACACCTGTACTCCGAGCTACTCGGGAGGCTGAGGCAGGAGAATTACCTGAACCCGGGAGGCAGAGGTTGCAGTGGGCCAAGATCATGCTACTGCACTCCAGCTTGGGTGACAGAGCAAGACTGTCTCAAAAAAAAAAAAAAAAAAAAAAAAAAAGATTGTCAGCCTGGCTCGGGGCTCACGCCTGTAATCCCAGAACTTTGGGAGGCTGAGGCAGGCGAATCACCTGAGGTCAGGAGTTCGAGACCAACCTGGCCAACATCGTGAAACCCTGTGTCTACTAAAAATACAAAAAAATTAGCCGGGCATGGTGATGGGTGCCTGTAATCCCAGCTACTTGGGAGACTGAGGCAAGAGAATTGCTTGAACCCGGGAGGCGGGGGTGGCAGTGACCCAAGATTGTGCCACTGCACTTCAGCCTGGGTGACAGATAGAGACTCCGTCTCATCAATTTAAAAAAAAAAAAAAAAAAAGTTGGGTGTGGTGGCTTACACCTGTAATCCCAGCATTTTGGGAGGCCAAGGCAGGTGGATCACCTGAGGTCAGGAGTTAGAGACTAGACTGGCCAACGTGGTGAAACCTTGTCTTTACTAAAAATATAAAAAATTAGCAGGGTGTGGTGGTGGGCACTTGTAATCCCAGCTACTGGGGAGGCTGAGGCAGGAGAATCACTTGGGCCCGAGAGGCAGAGGTTGCAGTGAGCCAAGATCACATCACTGCACTACAGCCTGGGCGACAGAGTGAGACTCTGTCTCAAAAAAAAAAAAAAAAAAAAAAAAAGATTGTCTATTAATTCTGTTCTATATGCACTTGGCATATAATCCCGCAATTGTCCTCGCATGCATTTACCCCACTGTGTAGGAGTAGAAATACAAACACAGTTTCTCCTACTAGACTCTCATAACATGCTGTGACAACAGATGAGTGAGGAATTTTCTTCACACATCAAGCAAGAGGTCAATTCTGCAGTAGACAACAGCTAGGTGTCCTCCAATTCAATTCCATTCTGACACTATCTGCCAGGACATAGCATCAGGTCCCACAGGTTGAGGGCTCAGTTCTGAAGACTACCCCCACTTCAGACTCCAGAGCTTCTTACTGACCAGCTACAAGTCAAGCTTCCCACAATCCCCTTCTAGGGTTCAATTAATTTGCTAGAGTGGCTCATAGAACTCAAGGAAAGGCTGGGAGTAGTGGCTCATGCCTGTAATGCCAGCACTTTGGGAGGCTAAGGAGGGAGGATTGATTGAGGCCAGGAGTTCAAGATCAGCCTGGGAAACAAAGTGGCACCTCATCTGTACAAAAAAAAAAAAAAAAAAAAATTTTAATTAGCTGGGCGTGGTGGCACACACCTGTGGTCCTAGCTACTTGGAAGGCTCACTTGAACCCAGGAGGCTGAGGTTGCAGTAAGCTGTCACTGTGCTCCAGCCTGGGCGACAGAGAGACTTTGCCTTAAAAAAAAAAAAAAAAAAGTTCAGGGAAATGTGCAGTCCTAATTAGGGAAAAGGAGTTGGTCCAGGACATATAAACAAAAAGAAGACGCAGGTAAGTTTAAGTTATGGCTCTGTCTTTCTTTATGGCCCAGGACATATAATTCTCTTGAGCAAATAATGTACATAACTCACAAACTTCCTGCTTATCATCAAACACTCCAATTCATCATCAAACACCTCGGCTGATAGAAGAATGCAAGTTAGCTCCCTGCTACCATGGCGTTATCAAACAGATCAAGAACCATCCTATAAAATCTCCAGCAAGCCTTCGTTTCCTCGAAGTCAGTTCCTCTTTTGCTGATTCTACCCGTTGCTCTCTTGCAATGTATTTTCCTACTTTCTCTAATAAATCTGCCTTTCTTTACCTACAACTGTTGTGGTAAATTCTTTTACCTGTGAGCCACCGGCCCAGACAGTGGCCGCTTACCCTCAACAGGAAACACAAAACTGACTATGTTTACTGGTTTATTATAAAGGATTTTTTTTTTTTTAAGACAGAGTCTCACTCTTTTGCCCAGCCTGCAGTGCAGTGGTGTGACCTCAGCTCACTGCAACCTCCGCCTCAGAGGTTCAAGTGATTCTCCTGCCTCAGCCTTCCGAGTAGCTGGGATTACAGGTGCCCGCCACCACACCCAGTTAAATTTTGTATTTTTAGTAGAGATGAGGTTTTATCGTGTTGGTCAGGCTGGTCTCGAACTCCTGACCTCAAGCAATCCTCCCACCTCAGCCTTCCAAAGTGCTGGGATTACAGGCATGAGCCACCGTGCCCCACCTGTTTTATTTTTTGTAGTGATGAGGTCTCACTTTGTTGCCCAGGCTGGTCTTGAATTCCTGGACTCAAGCAATTCTCCAGCCTTGGCCTCCCAAAGTTCTGGGATTACAGGCATAAGCCACCTCTCCCACCAATAAAGGATATTTTAAAGAATACAAATTCAGGCCAGGCGTGGTGGCTCACACCTGTAATCCCAGCACTTTTGGAGGCCGAGGCAGGCAGATCACCTGAGGTCGGGAGTTTGAGACCAGCCTGACCAACATGGAGAAACCTCATCTCTATTAAAAATACAAAATTAGCTGGGCATGGTGGCATATGCCTGTGATCCCAGCTACTCAGGAGGCTGAGGCAGGAGAATCGCTTGAATCCGGGAGGTAGAGGTTGCAGTGAGCCGAGATCACACCATTGCACTCCAGCCTGTACAACAAGAGCGAAACTCCATCTCAAAAACAAACAAACAAACAAAAAAAAACAAATACAAATAAATCACAGTCAAATAAAGAGATACACAGGACAAGGCATGGGGGAAGGGGCCTGGAGTCTTCATGCCCTCTCTGGGTGCACCACCCTTCAGGAATCCTCATGCGTTCGGCTACCCAGAGCTCTCCAAACTATTCTTTTGGGGTTTCAGGGGGGCTTCATTATGTAGGCATGATTGATTAAATCATCTGCCCTTGTGGATCAACTTGACTGTCAGCACCCTCTCCCCTCCCAGGTGGTTGGAGGGTCCCAACCCTCTAAACCTACCTTAGTCTTTCTTGTGACCAGCCCCATTCGGAAGCTGCCTAGGGACTGCCAGGCATCAGTCAACTCATTAGCATACAAAAAGACCCTTTAGTACTTTAGAGATTCTGAGGATATTAGGAGTTGTTTGCCAGGAAAGACCAATTATATATTTCACAATATCACATCCCTACAAAAACCTTACACAAACTGTCATAGGATCTTTATTCATAATATCCAACAACTAGAAACAACCAGGATGTCTTTCAACCAGTGAATGGTTACACCATGTGGTACATCCATGCCATGGAAAAGTATCAGCAGAAAAAGGAATGGGCAGGGCACGGTGGCTCACACCTGTAATCCCAGCACTTTGGGAGACTGAGGCAGGTGGATCACGAGGTCAGGAGTTAGAGACCAGGCTGGCCAACATGGTGAAACCCCATCTCTACTAAAGAGACAAAAAATTAGCCAGGTGTGGTGGTGCACACCTGTAATACCAGCTACTTGGGAGGCTGAGGCAGGAGAATAGCTTGAACCGGGGAGGCAGAGGTTGCAGTGAGCCAAGATCGCACCATTGCACTCCAGCCTGGGTGACAGGGCGAGACTCTGTCTCAAAAAAAAAAAAAAAAAAAAGGAATGAACTATTGATATACTGTTAGCTATTGATATCTCCACAGAATTTTGCTGAATGATGAAAGCCAGTCCCAAAAGGTACATATTGTACAATCTGAATAATACAACAGTATCTTGTTTTTGTCCTTTTTTTTTTTTTTTTCCTTTTCATGGAGAACAGGGTCTCACTATATTGCCCAGCAGGTCTCAAACTCCTAGGCTCAAATTATCCTCCCGCTTCTGCCTCCCTAAGAGCTGGGATTACAGGCATGAGCCGCCATGCCCAGCAAATACAACATTTTTGTGTGTGTGTGAGACAACGTCTCACTCTGTCACCCAGGCAGAGTGCAGTGATGTGATCTCGGATTACTGCAACCTCCGCCTCCAGGTTCAAGCGATTCTCCGGCCTCAACCTCCTGAGCAGCTGGGAGTACAGGTGCGCACCACAACACCCGGTTAATTGTATTTTTAGTACAGACAGGATTTCACTATGTTGGCCAGGCTGGTCTCAAACTCCTGGCTGCAAGTGATCCACCCACCTTGGCCTCCCAAAGTGCTGGGATTACAGGTGACAGGTGTGAGCCACCGTGTCCAGCCACAACATTCTTGAAATGAAAAAATTATACTATTGGAGAACAGATTAGTGGTGCCCCGGAGTTGAGAGGGGAGTGATGGAGGAAGTGAAGTGGTTGTGTCTGTTTAATGACAACATGGGGGATCCTTGTGAGGATGGAAATGTTCTGCATGTCAATATCCTGGGTATTTTAAGATGTTACTACTGGGGACAAAAACTAGGTAAATGGTACGTCGCATTTGAATCTACAATTATCCCAAAATATAAATTTAACTAAAAATAGATAAACTAAAACAACATATAGAAAAAAATATAGGATCCTCTTCCTTACCTCAAAAGATCTGCCAGGTTCTCCCGGAATCAGGGCAGGGAATCCCTGGGGTGATGTCCCATTAGCTGGCATGTTCACCCTGGGCCTCAGGCCACCTTCCGTGCTGGACAGCTGTCTGTGTGTAGAGGGTCCTGCAGCCTCTAGTAAGGGGTAAGGCTCAATGGCTCCACAGGGACGCCAAGAAATCCTAAAAGGACAGTATCCGTATCATCAGTGTCATCCCACATTCATGCCACAATGTTCAGCATCCCCAGAGCATTAGCCAAGGTGGATTATGAAATGATCAAATTTGGAGCCAAATTAATGAGCTTGGGGTCTCTTCTTGAGTGGCTCTACCAGGTGCTTCACTTGCTACTCAGCCAGCCTACACCTCAGTTCAAGTTCAAAGCAGATCTGGGTTTAGGAGAAGTAGAACCGGGGCAGTGCTTAAGGGTGCTTAAGGCCCATGGGGTGGGCAGGTGATGGGCATGTTCAAGGGGACCTGGTGGGTGACTGTGAGGGCAGGAAACCTGGAAAGCTGATAATCTAAATGAAAGGAAATTAGCCGATCCTTTCTTCTGTCTTCTTTTGTTTTTTTTTTCCACTCTTAGATGAAATATCCCTCTTAAATTCTTCTATTGGGAAGCTTTTAGCCTCTTCTTTCCAGAAAAAAAAATGGTTCAATCTTAATAATGTTATGTATTTTCTTTCTTTTTTTTTTTTTTTTTGAGATAGAGTTTTGCTCTTGTCACCCAGGCTGCAGTGGAATGGTGCAATCTCTGCTCACAGCAACCTCCGCCTCCCAGGTTCAAGCAATTCTCCTGCCTCAGCCTCCCTAGGGGCTGGGATTACAGGCGCCCGCCACCACGCCCAGCTAATGCTGGTATTTTTAGTAGAGATGGGTTTTCACTATGTTGGTCAGGCTGGTCTTAAACTCCTGACCTCAAGTGATCCTCCCACCTCTGCCTCCCAAAGTGCTGGGATTACAGGCGTGAGCCACTGCGCCTGGCCTAATGCTATATATTACATCAACAAATTACAGGGGGAAACACTCTGCTATTAACTTACACCAAAAAAGCATCCAACGCAATTCAGCAGCCATTACTAATGTAAGCTCAAACTGAAATCAGGGAAGAAGGAAATCACTTAAATGACACAAAAATCAATTTTGAAACATAACCCTGAAACACCATGCTAAAAAGTAAAATGATGAAGCTATTGCCATAAAATTAGTAATGTCTGCTATAACCCAAAATTGTTTTGTGGGCTCTAGCTCACACAAGAGAAGATGAAATAATTAGAGTGGGCTGGGCACAGTGACTCATGCCTGTAATCTCAGAACTTTGGGAGGCTAAGACAGGAAGGTTGCTTGAGTCCAGGAGTTCGAAACCAGCATTGGCAACAAAGTGAGGACCCCCCCCCCGTCTTTACAAGAAGTGAAATAATCCAAGTGTGGTGGTCCACACCCGTAGTGCCAGCTACTAAGGAAGCTGAAGCAGAAAGATAACTTGAGCCTGAGAGGTGGAGGCTGCAGTGACCTCTGATGGTGCCACTGCACTCCAGCCTGGGTGACAGAGCAAGAATTTGTCTCTAAAAGAAAAAAGAAAGAAAGAAAGAAAAGAAAAGATATAAATAATCAGGCTAGGTGCGGCGGCTCGTGGCTTTAATCCCAACACTTTGGGAGGCCGAGGCAAGAGGATCCCTTGAGCCCAGGTGTTCAAAACTAACCTGGACAGCATGACAAAACCCAGTATCCTTAAAAAACAAACAAACAAACAAAAAACACACACAGAGTTGCAGTGAGTTGAGATCACTCCACTATACTCCAGCCTAGGCGACAGAGTGACACCTTGTCTCTATTAAAGAAAAAAAAAAAGAGGCCGGACGAGGTGGCTCACGCCTGTAATCCCAGCACTTTGGTAGGCCGAGGCAGGCTGATCACCTGAGGTCAGCAGGTCAGAAGTTCGAGACCATGGTGAAACCCCGTGTCTACTAAAATCACAAAAATAGCTGGACATGGTGGCAACACACCTGTAATCCCAGCTACTCGAGAGGCTGAGGCAGGAAAATTGCTTGAACTTGGGAGGCAGAGATTGCAGTGAGCCGAGATTGCGTCACTGCACTTCAGCCTAGGCAACAGAGCAAGACTCTGCCTGAAAACAAAAAAGAAAGAAAAAAAGAAAGAAAAAAAAAGGCAGAAAGAAAAAAGAAAAAAATAATTAGGGTGAACATGAACACTGGAAAGAAATGAAAATGAAAATGTAGCTTTCTTGCCAATAAGATTATTTTATACATAGAAACCCTACCAGACTGCTAAAAGACTACTAAAATTCATAGGGTATAATACAATGTAAGGGGCTGGATACAAGGTAAAATTATAAAAGCAGATAGCTTCTTTTTTTTTTTTTTTTTTTTTTTTTTTTTTTTTTTTTTTTGAGATGGAGTCTCACTCTGCCACCCAGGCTGGAGTGCAGTGGCGCAATCTTGGCTCACTGCTACCTCCGCCTCCCTGCGACCTCCACCTTCCAGGTTCAAGCGATTCTGAGATTCTGCTACCTCAGCCTCCTGAGTAGCCGGAATTACAGGCGAGCGCCACCATGCCCGGCTAATATTTGTATTTTTAGTAGAGACGGGGTTTCACGATGTTGGTCAGGCTGATCTCGAACTCCAGACCTCGTGATCTGCCCACCTCGGCCTCCCAAAGGGCGGGGATTACAGGCATGAGCCGCCGAGCCTGGTCAAAAGCAGACAGTTTCTCTCTACAATAACAACGAGCCAATGGAAACAAAATTGCATAAATAATGATAGTAAAAACTATATAAAATACGTAAGTGTAACTTTGTTTTGTTTTGTTTTGTTTTGAAACAAGGTCTCCCTCTGTCATCCAGGCTGGAGTGCAGTGGTGCAATCAAGGCTTTCGCAGTCAGGCGATCTTTCCACCTCAGCTTTTTTTTTTTTTTTTTTTCCCCGTACAGACGGCAGTCTTCCTGTGTTGCCCAGGCTGTTCTCGACTCCTGGACTCAAGCAATCGCCCTCCTCGGCCTTCCAAAGTGCTGGGATTACAGGGGTAAGCCACCGCGCCCGGCCAGAATAAACATTTTAAGGAGGTGGGCCTATACGATTACAAAAAGAGAAAAATTTTGACTAATATAAAATAGTCGGCCTGGCGCGGTGGCTCACGCCTGTAATCCCAGCACTTTGGGAGGCCGAGGCGAGTGGATCGTTTGAATCCAGGAGTTCTAGACCAGTCTGGGCAACATGGCGAAACCCCATCTCCACTAAAAATATAAAAATTAGCCGGGCTTGGTGGCGCGCACCAGTAATCCCAGCGACTCGGGAAGCCGAGGCACGAGAATCGCTGGAAACCGGGGAGGTGGAGGTTGCAGTGAGCCGAGATCGCGCCACTGCCCTCTACCCTGAGCGACAGAGTGCGACTTCGTCAAAAAAAAAAAAAAAAAAAAACACGGTGTATACAACATATTCTTGATTGCAGCTAAAGAGATTCTTAAGGAAAAGGGTATGCTCTTAAAATTTTTTTTTAACAAAGAAAGGCTGAGCATTAATGAATTAACATTCAATTTAAGAAGTTAGATAAAGAGAAAACAGTACAGATAAGAGCAGAAATTGAAGAAATAGAAAACAAAGGTACATCAGAAGAGATATGTGATCAGAGGAGCAACAAGGTCAAAAGCTGTTTTTTGGGAAAGGCTAATAAAATTAGCAAACCTCTGGGAATACTGATAAAGGAAAAACCCAAAGCGCACACTATTAAGGCTGGACATCAAGACACAGCAGGGAATCTAAAACCTGACCACTCCAGAGGCCCTCATCCCTGACACTCATAGATTCCCATTCATCAGGTTCTTTATTTCCCCACCAGTTGACACCACAACTGCCAATGCATCATCCCCCGAAGCCAACAAAGCTTCAAAATCACCTGAGCGACTATCACGCCATAAAACCTCGTGCACTGCATTTAGCGTCGCGCGCCAAGACGACTTAAACGGCCTCTGAGGGGGATTTCCGTTTCCTGTCCTCACCCCGACACTGCACCTTCTAGGGCTGTTGATTTTGCACACGATCAGGAGAACTGAGAGGTTGTAGTCTACTCACTGAACACAGCCCTGTTACGGATCGGCGGAGACTTGGTCCATGAGTGGCGTTGTCAGGCGAGGAATATGGCTGCGCTATGTCGTGTCTCATGGGGGCGGCCATCTTAGCACCCATTCCGTACAGTGGGCTGTTCCACAGAAGGCGGGGGCGAGAGGGCGTTCACGGGTAGAATCCTTCTGGGGCAAGATTCTGGGAGAAGCTGGTCTTTGGAACTCGGTTCTATAAGTTTGGGCAAAGTTTAAAGAAGCAGAGGTGTGCCTCCTACCCAGGGAGGATGGGGCGTGTTCTGATGTTCAAGGGATCCACCACTGGGCAAGAGGAAGAAGTCAGGGTGGTACAATCCCCCCCTTGGCGATACCACTGGGAAGAGGGGGAGAAATCAGGTTAACACAGGTGCCCATCGTGGGCGATACCACTGGAGAAGAGGGGAAAGGAGTCAGGGTGTACAATCTCCCGATATGCTGCGGTTACCATGGAGAAGACTTGAACTCCCCCATCTCCGTTACCCTCCTTGCCCCACTACAATGATAGTAGTTAGGAATAATAATAATAATAATAGTCTTTGATATGGACAACCAATGGTTTTTCTTTCCTTTTTTATTTATTTATTTATTTATTTATTTATTTATTTATTTATTTATTTTTGAGATGGAGTTTCACTCTTGTTGCCCAGGCTGCAGTGCATTGGCACGATCTCGGCTCTCCGCAACCTCCGCCTCCCGGGTTCAAGCGATTCTCCTGCCTCAGCCTCCGGAGTAGCTGGAATTATAGACATGCTCCGCCACACCCGACTAATTTTGTATTTTTAGTAGAGATGGAGTTTCTCCATGTTGGTCAGGCTGGTCTCAAACTCCCGACCTCAGGTAATCCACCCGCCTCTGCCTCCCAAAGTGCTGGGATTATAGGCGTGAACCATGCGCCGGGCCATGGACAACCAATGGTTTTTTTTAGCAAATTATCAATAGAAAAATGCTTAAAGCCCAGGCGCGGTGGTTCACACCTCTAATCCCAGCACTTTGGGAGGCTGAGGTGAGCGGATCACTTGAGATCCAGAGTTCGAGACTAGCCTGGGCAACATGATGAAACTCGTCTCTACTAAAAATACAAAAATTAGCTGGGTGTGGTGGCACACACCTGTAGTCCTAGCTACTCAAGAGGCTGAGGTGGGAGGATCGCTTCAGCCCAGGAGTTAGGGAGTTATGATTGCACCACTGCACTCCAGCCTGGGTGACAGAGTGAGACCTCATTTCAATTTTTTTGTTTAAAGAAAAATGCTTAGAAAATGGCCAGGAGCGGCCAGGTACGGGTTCATGCCTGTAATCCCAACACTATGGGAAGGGAACGCAGGAGGATCACTTGAGGTCAGGAGTTCAGGACCAGCCTCAGCAAAATGGCAAAACCCGTCTCTACCAAAAATACAAAACTTAACGGGTGTGGTGGTGTGCATCTGTAGTCTCAGCTACTCAGGAGGCTGAGGTGGGAGGATGGCTTGAACCTGGGAGGCGGTGGTTGCAAGTGAGCAGAGATCGCGACACAGCACTCCACCCTTGTCAACAGAGTGATACCCTGTCTAAAAAAGAAAGGAAAGAGAAGAGAAGAGGAGCCTGGCGCCATGGCTCAGGCCTGTAATCCCAATACTTTGGGAGGCCAAAGTGGGTGAATCACCTGAGGTCAGGAGTTTGAGACCAACCTGGCTAACATGGTGAAACTCTGTCTCTTGTATTAGTAAAATATAAAAATTAACCGGCCGTAGTGGTGCGTGCCTGTAATCCCAGCGACTCAGGAGTCTGAGAGACGAGAATAGCTTGAACCCGGGAGGTGGAGGTTGCAGTTAGCCGAGATCACATCACTGCACTCCAGCCTGGGTGAAAGAACAAGACTCCATCTCAAACAAACAAAAAATGTTATTGATCTTGGCTGGGCGTGATAGTCCACGCCTGTAATCCCAGAATTTTGGGGAAGGCCGAGGTGGGCAGATCACTTGAGACGAGCCTGAGCAATATAGTGAGACCTCATCTCCGCAAAAAATAAGCAAAATTAGTTGTGCATGGTGACGTGTACCTATAGTCCCAGCTACTCAGGAGGTGAGGAGGTGGGAGGATCTCTTGAGCCTGGGAGGTCCAGACTGCAGTGAGCCATGATCGCACCACTGCACTGCAGCCTGAGGGACAGAGGGAGACACTGTCTCAATCAATCAATCAATCAATCAAATGGTATTGATCTTGATTACTGAGTTTTTTTTAATACCTCCTTACATTTTACACTTAAGGCGAATGCCTCCCTCACCTTACCCTAGTCCTAGCCCTGCAGAGAAACCTTGGAAACCTTGTTCTCTAAAATCATAGACTATCGGAAATTTTCCTGTTTGAAACAATATCAATAAGAATAAAACCTCCTACTCTTCCCTGGAGGATCTAAGCTACTGTGACACAGAGAAATAGCCTTGATTTCTGACCCAGGCGCAGAGCTTCAGATAATGGGTATCTGAAGTCAAAACTTCACATCTATGTTTAGTGTTTATTTTTTTTTTTCTTTTCTTTTTCTCTTTTCTTTTTTCTTTTTTGTTTTTTTTTTTTTTTTTGCTGAGATAGGGTCTCACTCTGTCACCCAGGCTGAAGTGCAGTGGCATGATCATAGCTCACTGCAACCTCAACCTCCTGGACTCAAGTGATCCTCCCACCTCAGCCTTCCAAGTAGCTGACAGACTACAGGCACACACCACATCACCCAGCTACCTTTGTTCGTTTTTTGTAAAGACAAGATATTACTATGTTGCCCTGGCTGGTCTTGAACTCTTGGGCTCAAGGGATTCGCCCACTTCAAGTGCTAGGATTACAGGCCTGAGCCACTGCACACAGCCTATCTTTTGTGTTTCTTTTTTGTTGTTGTTTCGTTTTTTCATTTTTCATTTTTTGAGACAGAGTCTTGCTCTGTTGCCCAGGCTGGAGTGCAGTGTGTGGTCTCGGCTCACTGCAACCTCTGCCTCCCAGGTTCATGTGATTCTCCTGCCTCAGCCTCCCGAGTAGCTGGGATTACAGGTGTGTGCCACCACACTCAGCTAATTTTTGTATTTTTAGTAGAGACAGGGTTTCATCATGTTGGCCAGGCTGGTCTCGAACTGCTAACCTCAAGTGATCCACCCGCCTCAGCCTCCCAAAGTGCTGGGATTACAGGCGTGAGCCACCGCGCCCAGCTTCTTTTGTGTTTCTAAAGAAAAAGGACCTTAGGTCTGCTTCACAGTCTGAACCTAATGTTGATCCTTTTCCATACCAACCTCCTTTGCTTTGGGCTTGTCAAAACACTGCTTCACTTAAATTTTACCTAAATTCCATTCCTATATCTTATAGTAATCCCATTCCTTCCTTTGTTCATTGACACTAAGGTGATCAGCCATCCCTGTTTGCCTAGGAATGGAGTTTACTGGGACAAGGGCATTCAGTTCTAAAAGCAGGAAAGTCCTGGGCAAACTGGAACAAGTTAAGTTACCTTAGGTGAGACATCCCCACAGTTCCTGTGGGGCGTGGTCTTCCTTGCTGCAGCAGGTTAATAAACCCATTTCTTTCGGGACTAGGAATGTGACCTTGGTAGTCTTTATCAAGGTCATTAATGTTGGAAGAGTTCACAGAGGTGAAGTTTGAGATCATTCCTAGTATGCATTGACGGTGGAAAAATGAATAGACCTGATTCAGGCTCCAGGTCAGCGGGGCATTGCTGGGGGAATAGTTAGTCAAAGGCTGAATGCTAAGCTATACCAGAAAGGCATTGATGGTGGAAGAGTTATTAGAGCACTAGATTGAGGTCAGACTAAATTAATACTGCTGGGAAGCCGGGCGTGGTGGCTCACGCCTGTAATCCCAGCACTTTGGGAGGCCAAGGCGGGCAGATCACCTGAGATTGGGAGTTCAAGACCAGCCTGGCCAACATGGTGAAACCCTGTCTCTACCAAAAATACAAAAATCAGCTGGATGTGGTGGCTCACACCTGTAATCCCAGCTACTTGGGAGGCTGAGGCAGGAGAATCGCTTGAACCCAGGAGGCAGAGGTTGCAGTGAGCCGAGATCGCGCCACTGCACACCAGCCTGGGCGATAGAAAGAGCGAGACTGTCTCAAAAAAAAAAAAAAAAAAAAAAAAAAGATGGGGTTTGAAGTTGGTCCAGAAGTGGTGAAAATGTTAACAGGGGCCTAGATTTTAGATTTTGACAAGGGAATTATTGACGGTGGATTAGATAACAGATGACCAAGTTCGAGGTCCAGCCAGATGAGCAGTGGTGGCAGCAGAGTTCATAGAAACCAGCAGTTTGAGATTTCTTGTCTAGACCAAATCGGGGGGGGGGAGTTGTAGATAGATGGTGCAGCTGACCAATGGCTGCATCGGGGAGGTGGGATCTGGTTTCTGGTGGCCAATGGGATGAAGCAGCCGGTTCTAGGGAGAAGCCCCTGTTGCTATGTGCAGGGTGGAAAGGACCTGAGTTGCTGCAAATAGTTAGCCAATGAATGCACGAGAAGTTGGGCGTTTGTCTCTTCAGCCTATGGCAGTAACGGTAAACTGTTACTAGGTAGTAACTAACCCCGTTGCCATGTGAATTGAGGCTGCCAAAGCCTAGCTTGAGAAGCTGTGGACTGAAGGTGCAGTTAGCTAATGGCTGAATATAAGAAATAGGCTCTGGTCTCCCAGGTCAATATGAGGCTGCCTGATCTATAAATCAGCAGAAGTCCCCATTGTCCAGTGCAAGGAAGGGGCCGGTCGGACATAGCCTGACGGGGATGCAGGTAAATGGCACAGCTGGAGGTAGTTGAAGTGGGTGGGAACACAGCCCGAGGTTGCTTTGGAGAGAGGGCGCAGCTAGCCAATGGCTCTGTGTGGGAGGCAGGCTTTAGTCTCCATGGCCAATGAAGTGCGAACATCCTTGTCACTAGGCGAAATAATTTTGCAGTTCAAATTACATCATTAAGAATGAAGCATCTTAATGCCTGAGAGACTAAATCACTTTGACACAGAACAGCAGCCTCAATTTCCAATCCAAGTGGAAGACAGGGAGGAGATGTAACATGAGACGTTGCAGACAGATGACACAAAAGGAAAAGAAATAAGTTAAATGAACTTTAATAACATACTTTGTTTGAACTACATAACCAAACATTCTTATTTCAACATGTAATTAATTTTTAAAATTACCTAGATATTTGGCACTATTTTTGTGGTAA